CCAATCAATCTCCCAGTGCAATTTCCTCCATCCAGGCTCCAGCCCAATGGGGTTTAAGGGCAGCCTGTGGAGGTGAAGGTCACGGGCCTATGGGACGTGTTCAGGAAGTAGCAGCACACAGCGCAGCCTGTAATGAATATCATGGGCGTCAGAGTAAACACAACACCACCAGTCTCAGCTCAAATCACACTCTCTCTAGAATATTCTGCATTCCCAGCAAACACTGCACACTCACTTCAGTGTTTCTGAGCACAGAGCTGCTTGCATGGTACTGTCTGTAAAATGAGTCCAACTGGAGACAGTGTTGTATGAATGGATGAAGCAATACCTGACAGGTCTTAAGGTATTAGAACAAGGTTTCATGGGGGCAGGAGCTTCAACTGATGAATGTGGACCACAAGAAATAATAAGCTATTAGCTATTAGGGGAGGTACATAGTAGGACGTTGATGTTTCTGCCGGTGAATAACATGGTCATTGAGAGACGGAGAGACACGGAACAAAGGCTTTATGTCAGACCTGGGAAAGGACATCAATCCTGCGAGTGTTTGAAACACACACACACACACACACACACACACACACACACACACACACACACACACACACACACACACACACACACACACACACACACACACACACACACACACACACACACACACACACACCACACACACACACACACACACACAATTTTCCTTAATCACCGATCAGCCATCCTGTCAAGTGGTTTGAGGCACACTCAGAGAATATACTCAGTCAGTCAGAGAGATCTTAAGCACAATGTGTCTCTCTGTACCTCGCCACAGGCTGTGAAGACAGGAGTGAACTCAAATGAATCCGTCAGATGTCAATTAAGCATGAAATAATACTCTTGGTGCACGGAGAGATGTTTTTTCCATCAAAAAAGTCACGATGTCACATGAGGTGAAAGTTGTGAAAAGTCAGGATCTTTCTTCTGGTTTTTAACTTGGGTCTAAAAACAAGGAGTATTTTCTGAGATTACGCGGCCACCTGTGTGTTCAGGAGTCGTCTATCAAAGGCAAAGCACCAGAGGAGAACGAAAACCCCAAAACACAAATCTATTTATTGAGACAAATTCAGTGCAGGAAGGGAAATATTTGGTTAGCTCGGCGGCAAGCGGTCGGCGGTGTTGGAGCAGTCCACGGTTGAAGTGGGGGGGAACAGCCGGCCCTTTGTTTGCGGACAGAATGGTGCACTCCGTGGGGTCACTGCAGGAGGCCCAACATCACAGACAGAAGGACACACACTCACATTCTCCCTCTCTCACTCACACACATGCATGTTTGCCTGCACATGCATGCACACTCACACAAAAACCATAACATTCCTCTGCTTCTATGAATGTTTTATTAACCATGTGAATGGGTCAAAGAGGTACACCCCCTAGCACAACTATGGTCTCCATAGTCACACACACACACAAAAACGCGCTCCTGCTCTTTCTCACACTTACACACCTACCTACCAGGCGGAGTGGATGACGTTGACATGGTGGCATTCCTGATCTTAATAACTGTCCAACCTGTGTCTCCTTGTCTATCTCCTTGGTATCTGTCTTAAAGCAGGGCAATCTTTGCCACAAACAAGCATTAAAGCATTGGTTCATCTCCAAAAGATGATTTACCCAGAGTGGTATCTAGCCATGCATATACTTGAGGTCCAGTATACTATGGATTTGTGTGGTTATATTTGATGGTTAATTTTGTGGTCACTTTGTGGTATAATTCAACACAGAAGAATCTCTCCGGAAATTAGGACACTATCTGGAAAGATCTTGTTGTTTCTCTAACTCTCAGCTATAAATTAATATTTCCCATAAAGTTTGTTCCACAATTTGGGGGAACTTACCCTTTAAAAAAAATCATGCAGTAAGAGAAAACTCAAACAATCTCATGAATTATGGCTGCAGTTTTTGCCTGTATATTTTATCTGCTTGGAATCTTCAAGTCTTAAGCAGCTTTAAAAAAGACACTGGTGCTTTCCGCTTGAGTCCCTACAATCCTGAGTGACCTTTGGTAAGTTAGAGTTTGACCTGTTGTTTTGTCTACCCATAAAATATTCCAGAGGTACAAAGACAAGTCACTTATAGAAGCTGTAAACATCCTGGAGGACACACAACATGAGAACATTTGACTTAAACTACCCCCCTCTTTATTTTTTATGAGCAAAAGACACTGCCAGTTAGTCCGTCTCCCGTAAGTGCAAAGCACTGTTCTTTTTGGACAAACCATGACAATATCAGTCACTAGAAGAGGACTGGCCAAAAGCTGATCCATACCAATTCCCCGGTGCCCACACACAAACATCTATCAGACCCCCCCAGCTGAGCTCTGGAACCAGAAAGTCTCAACCAATATCGTGCAAAGGTGTTAAACTAGGAGCATTTCCAGACCCAACCATCAGTCCTTTCACCACACACAGACACACACACACACACACGCGTGTTAATTCCTCACACTTCTCCACACCCCCACAGAGAGCAGAACACAAGTCTTGTTTGCTTTGGATGGCTCTGCGAGGGGACCTCCATGTTGGACAAACTAAAGCACACCGCTGTACCACAGCCCGAGTAGTCATATCGCAGTGCTGCTGCAGAGATCATCACAAGTTATGCAACAATCCACATTGCATCCAGCTGGTCATTTCTGTTTCATGTCTCCTTGAGCTGCATGGTGCACTGGTGCATGCTGTGTATCATGGTGACTGCAGTTTGAGTCAACCTTTTAATAGGATTTCTGGTTCTAGTGATCACACTGCTGCATGTCCACACTTGGCCTGAAAGTGTCAACATGCGTGTGTTTGAATCAAAATCAAAATGTGTAGGAGTCAGATCTCAGTGTGAGGCTGACTACTTCCTCGTGTGGCTTTGAAGATCCAGTAGCTACATGAGCAAAATCCAATTTTTGTCAATTTAAACCTGTCATTTAATATACCCGTGCCTCACACTGAAATATTTAGTCATTCTGAAGCGACACGTGTAACCGTAGCCTTAAATTATCCCCCAGTTTGAGATCTTTTAAGATTAATTTACCAGTGGTTCGTCTGTCCTGCTGTCTTTTTATCTTATTTGATCTAGTCACAGTGAAGCTGCTTTCCTCGCAGTCGCGATGGAGTGAAGAGCATTATGTAGATAATGCCCCACATTAATCTCACACTGCCCTACATATTCAGGGTTAAAGGTCAAAGCAATTTCATGTTGTCGTAACACGCTGTCTCCTCCCCAGGACTATTTATTATGATCCTAATGTCCTGGTTTCATATATTACTTTTTCCAGTTTAAACTCTTGCATTTGAATGATATAAAATAACTTGAGCTACTCTTTTTGTTTAATATGCATATAGGACCTACTTGTTTTTTTTACCACGTGCTTCTTCAGAGAACCGCAATAAGATACTCCCATGTTGTCTTAATGACTTTTTAATGGGTTGTAAATAACAGAGAATGACAGCTCACTGTTGGGAAATTACTGTTTGGTTTTCAAATGTTATTACTTCCAAATAAACAGCAGTATATCTTTCAATATCTGTTTGTGCAGTCAGCGGTTTTCTTTTAGAGTGGTCATTCTCAAATGCCGATCTAAATTCTCAGTGTTTTGACAAAGGGGAAAACAGTATTGTATGCATTCAAACAATTAACCACAATAATTAATCATCTCTTGTTTTTCAAGGATGACTCAACAGGGTATGGGAAAAGGCAAAACATTCATGTGTTTTTGTGCCGTGACGAAACCATAGAGCATGCCACTTCTGCAAACTACTTCATAATTCTCCTCGGATATCACACACACCCACACACACGCGCACACACAAAACACATGCACACACACTCTCTCCAGAATAGTCCAGATTTAAGACCTGTCGCTGGTGTGGAACTTAGTGAAAAGGAGTATCCTGTGGGGCCCTTGGGGGCCAGAAAACTACTATGTAGCTTGTGTGCTCGCGGGTAGATGTGTGTGTGCGTGAGTGTGTGCGTGTGCGTGTGCGTGTGCGTGCGTGTGCGTGGTGGCAGAAAGTGACCCGAGAGGCCCAGCTAGTTACAGCCTCTCTGCTGGAGACCACCACTTCCACAAAACAAGCATTGTTGGTACAGAGCTCCAGACACCAGAGACACACACTGGAAACAACTTGTATGTGCACACACATACAAAAATACATGCACACCACAGGAAAAAAAAACGTGCAGTTTGAAGCAGTAATTCTAGCAGAGGGCATGTTCTGTTAGCTATGATTAAAATCACAAAGTCCCTCGGAAGAGTCTCGTCTACATCACAGAATTTCACTAGGAAACGTTCTCTATCTCACACACACACACACACACACACACACACACACACACACACACACACACACACACACACACACACACACACACACACACACACACACACACACACACACACACACACACACACACACACACACACACACACACACACACACACACAGTACCATGTACAAAATGGGGATCACTAACAATAGCCCCTGGGTGGTTGGTCAGACTATTATTGTAGGTGTTTCTATGCTAATTATGTGTGACTGAGAGCATGTCAAAATCAGTTACTGGAAATAATGTGGTGAGCTGGAAATTGTGAGGTGGAATTACTGTGCCCACAAAAAAAAAGTTTATTGAGTTCCAACAGTGGCTTTGTCACACAATGAGTACTGTTCTGAGACACTGTGCCAAAGCCACTGGATCAATGTTATTACTCAAACGATGCAAAACAACATAAGGAAGACATCATCATCATCATCATCATCATCATCAACATCATCATCATCATCATCATCATCAGAGAGGGGGGGGGGGGGGGGGCAGCATCATGACCTCCACTTCTGGCTGTGCGCGCTGCAGAGACCTAGTTGGCTGACAGGAGAATACGTCAGCACCTCTCACCGCTGGAGTATAACCCCCTCAAGCCTCTGGTGGTCACACAAACGCAAGCGTAAAAGTAGCAGCTCCAACTGTTGCCCGGACTAACCCATTCAGCATCCACGTCTCTCACAGCCTGACAAGGAGGAGTGAGACGGCTCACCGAGCACGAAGCGGAAAAGTGCCGAGAAGAGCTGGAACATTTACGCACAGCCTTTTTTCCTGGATTGTTTTTGCGTGTTAAAGTCCACCTTTGATCATCTTGGACATTTTTCTGCACCTCTTGGATTTTGTATTCATTTCAGCACTTCAATGGCAGCTCTGAGAATGAAATTCTCGCACCTGTTCATGTTGATGTTAAACTGTTTCCTGCATGGTGCTGCGTCAGTTAAGATCATGAGTGGGCGCACACAGGACAGTAGCTTCCTCCAGCCCTCGTTGGACATATTCTCAGATGACCCGGATCAGGACAGTGTCTCCCACCACATGTCCAAACTGTACGAGAAATACAACACGGAAAACCGACTCAAAGAGGGAAATACTGTCAGGAGTTTCAGAGCAAGCCAAGGTGTGTTAAGAAATAGATTTACCTGCATTAAATAAGCGAAATTGCTCAAATTCTGTTTTTGATTTAATTATGAAACATTTAAGAAAACACATTTAAGCCCTTAGTGCACCAGTAATCCGTCGCAAAAGGAAAAATAAATAGTCATAAAGCTCCCCTGATCCTCTCCATGGATGGTTATTAAAAGTGCAACCGCTCAGCTAGATTGTTTTTGCAGACGCTCTAAATAGGTAGGGTTGTTTTTGGAACAGTCTGAGAATGCATTTAAATGATTTTGGGATGCTGTGGGCACACTGTTTGTGGCAGCAGCTGTGCCCCCTTCTGCTGTGGAGTCTGATCAATTACCGCAGACAGACGCGCAATAAGTGCAAGAATGCATGCGATTCCCTGCCAGCAATGCCCGGCTTCACACAGTGAAACCTCAGCGGCAGTTACGCGCTGCATAGGTTCATTGTCGTGGCTTCTCTATATTCCTGTTGTGGCTACAGGACATGTGTGACTCCACGTCCTGGAGTCAAGGGGCTTAGAGCACAGTCGGTCCTCTCTGTCTGATGCTGTTTTTATAAACACAACTCATAGACATTTATATCCCTCATGGTTCTCAGATGGCATATGATAACACGTGTGTATTTTTACTGCAGAGGCTGGGTGTAATACAAGGAGAGATGTAAGAGAGTTTTCACAACAATGTAAGATCTGTTAAAACAGTTGATTATGTCTTGGTGTCTGGGCAGACAGCGCTGGCTGTATTGGGCTTAAGGGTGAGCTTTAAGAGAAACTGAGGTAAGCATTTCCATATGCAGGCTGAATCCGAGGTAATGTATATCTCTTGAGTCAATCCATACTTCCGCTGAACTCTTATACAATGAACAATAACTCTGCTGTTGAAGTTAATGTTCATCATGAATATTTAGCTCTCTGCTCACCCTCCTCCACCCCTGCCAGCCAGATCCCCAGAGCCTGGTTCCTCTTAAGGGCACCTTCGGAAATCCTACCAAAGCGTGCAACCGTTTAACAGCCACACAGCAGTTATGTAACACAGAACAAGGAAAGGTGTTTAACTTTTAAACCTGAGCAAGAGTGCTTTAAGTGCAGTTTGATACCAAATGGTTTTGTCCTTAGTAATTTATCTTTCTTTAATAACAGTTCAGATAGTTATCAAATACAGTAAAGTTCCCTCCTGGTTACTTTTTACCAGTGGGATATCTTTAAGAGTACATTTAGATTTTACAAATGTCATTCTTTGGATAAAAGTTTTGATTCGCTTGACTACCTGCCACTGACTGATTGATTGTCTTTGCAGACTCCTCTGACCGCAGGACGGTGTACCGACTAAATCTTACAACCCTCCAGGACTCAGAGGTCATCCTCTCTGCCACATTCCACTTCCTCCTCGATCGGCTCCCTCATCAAAAACCCTGGTTCTGTAAACGCTTCAAAAGCCCATCCTGTCGTTCATCAGCCATCCACCCTTCTCCGTCCATCAGCCTGTTACTTCGCTCTGTCTCCTCTGGGTCAGAGGTCAGATCTGGGTCAATGGGGTCACTTCTAGGCAATGTGACCTTCCACCCCCACAGGAGAGGGGTGTGGCAGATGAAAGATGTGACCCAGGTCATAAAGGAGGCACGGGACAAGGGTCATCTCCTGGTGTCAGTGGAGTTGGGGCAACAGCACCAGAGAAAACCAGAGGGGGCGCTGTCTGGTGGCAGCCTGCCCTACCTGCTGCTGTATGCTAATGACCAAGCCTTGGCAGAGCCCAACAGCGTGGCTGCAAGCCTTCAGAGGTATGACCCATTTGGTGAGGGAGGAGAGCCTTCACTCACTTCTAATGGACCTAACTCTTCACCAGAGCCAAAAGGACGCGAGAGAAGGGAAGCAACTGCGATCTTTGACCCCATACTGAACAATGAGCTGCCTCAGGTTGACTTTAGACCTGATGGGTACAGAAAGGATGACCTCTGGGAGAGCACTTGGTACCTGGCACTCAAACCTAAATCAGGAAATCAAGAAAAGAAGAGAAAGAGCCAGGAGGGAGAAAGAGTGGCGCAAGGTAAAGGGCTTCATGTCAATGAAGAACCTCAGGTTCTGAAAGAAGAAGAAAAACCCCAACAGGAGCTCAAACCTGATGACTCTACCGAGAAAAAACTCAAAGACAGTCGCAATCCTACTACCAGTGATGGGCGGAAGCATGAGCGGAGACATGAAGGAAAGGATGGAAAAAAGCACAAAGGAAGCACTCACTCTGAGTCACCTGTTCTGAGTTTTGATGAACAAACGATGCGCAAGGCCCGGAGGAGGCAGTGGGGAGACACCCAGCAAAGAGGCTGCTCCAGGAGGAACCTCAGGGTGGATTTTGCAGACATTGGCTGGAGCGAGTGGGTCATAGAACCCAAAGCCTTTGATGCCTACTACTGCGCTGGAACATGTGGCTTCCCGATGTCCAAGGTAGGATCACAGACATCTAAGTCACTCTCATTTGTTTCCAAAACAGCATTAACAACTTAAATTAAGAAACTAAAGCTATTCTCTTTTCTTCTTCTGTTTTTTTCTTCCAGGTGGCGAGGCCGTCTAACCATGCCACCATCCAGAGCATAGTGCGTGCGGTGGGGATCATCCCCGGAGTTCCTGAGCCCTGCTGTGTCCCAGAGAAGATGAGTCCACTGGCTGTGCTCTACCAGGATGAATCCAGGAACCCAGTGCTAAAGGTTTACCCAAATATGTCCGTCCAGTCCTGCTCCTGCAGATAGGAAGGGGAGGTCAATGGGGGCAGAGGACAAAACAGGGTGGATGTGGAGAGAAACTGAAAACAGGATACATGGAAACAGAACCATACCTCTGTTGTTAAGTGGTTTCTTGAGAAACAAAGTCACTTTGGCCGTGGTTATTCCTCAAGGAACATAGGCTGTAGAGAAATCACTTCCATCTCCTCTGTTCTGCGGCAGCAGACTTGAAGAGACACATTGTCTGGCGTCTGCCTTAGCGAGAGGAACAAAGTCACACATGTAAAGTCAGGGCTCCACAGACGCCCATTGAGTTGATTCTATGTTTGACATAATACTGAGGATTTCATGGACAGGAGCATTTTCCTTTTATCTCAGATTGTACTTGCTTTTCAAACAGCTCACAGTGAGTTTGTGTTCATGTTTTCTTTGGACACAAGGGCTATAAATAAATACTTTATTAATGTATCATCAGGCAGCTTACACCGTCACATACAAAAGACAGTCATTATATAAGATATTTCTTATTTTTTTAAGTACTGCGTGCAGCGTTTATTTTCAACAGATCATATGCCACATTGTACATACATGCAATGTTAATCTGTTGGCAAAAATGTAGGGTTATGGTACATTCTTGCTCGGCATATCTTAAAAAGGAAATATCCAATGGATCTTAGAGGGCATCTGGAATTCATTTACACCCACCAACCCCCTCATAACACTTCAAGAATGTTATAATGAAACCAGAAATATTTTTCTATTTTGAATGTGAAACTTGGTTAAGAATAATTTGTCATGGTTCCTAGGTTATGTATTACTATATTTTTAGAGGATATGGTGTTTTGTACATGTGTATTTTTTAAATTATGAAAAGGTAGCCTTCTATACATTAGAATAAAATGTAATTTAATCTCTTGCTGGAATATTGTTGTTTCATACACTTTGTGTTATTTTTGGTCATTACTGTGTATAATGTTTGATTCTTAGGGGGGGGGGGGAGGGTCTTTTTTGTCAAAACAAACCTAAAAAGGGCACCACTGTTCAAAATAACTTTGTACAAAAACAGGAAGGTTCCTGCAAAGCCCCTTGAACCCATTATTACCCCACGCCAAAGGCTCAGGCGTCTGTTGTCCGGCAAAATAATGTACCCGATGCAGCTGCCGTGGATTAATGGTTGATGGAGGAGGCAGGCACGCACCTATTAGGACGTCAGCCACTTGAACTTCAAAACCAGGGGCACTTCCCCTTTTCTACCCCTCCATTGAAAAGCTGAATATTCCAAGTGCAGGATGTTCATCTCAAAAGCCTTTTTAAGAACAGATGGTTACAGACGGATGATCTCAACCACTTTATTCAACTGCTTGTCACTTTTCTTCATAAGAGGAAGAAGGTGGCCCATGTGGTGCCTAAACAGGGTGTCAAACTGACAGGGAAATGACAGAGGAAGCCTTTTGATTATTAACTCATTACGCTGCGGTTGTTCTGCCGTGAGGCGGAAAAAGTTGGCACGGAGTACCACATCTGCTGCAGCAACAGAATGCTCTGAAGTTCAAGACTGGACAGTAATTTCATCTCAAAGACAGAGACATTAAGGGGGACGCTTTGGGGGAATGGAACAAAAGATTAAAACCTTTAAACTGTTTATTGCAGTTGAGAATAATGCTATAAATGTGTTGGCTTGAAATTGAGACCCCTGTCATCATCTCCTAACAAATTGTGCCATCCCTCATGTCTGTACTGCTTTGTCCATTAGATATACAGAGACTATAAAAAGTAATCATCCTATTTGTATGTTGTTGGCTTTTACGTTCTTACAGCGAAGAATCAAAGGCTTTTTATTGTGGCTTTTGTGACACTTACCAGAACACCCCGTTATTGTTCTGAAAACAGATCACTACAAATATGGCAATGACTCAACATTTTTGGATTAACTAACTAAATCACCAAGCAGCATGCCAGACATCTATGATTTGGTGGGTTTCCATGATAAAGAAAAAAGTTAATTAACAATCATTTGTAATTAGTTTAGATCACTTTAGGGACCTTTTTTCAGTTGGACTTAAAGATGTTTTATTTAATGTTCTACCAAAAACAACATGACAACTTTAATACAAGGTGAATACTTTATATAGTAAACCAATAAGTATAAAATAAAAATGTTATTTTATCCTATTAGCTTGGTAAAAATGGTGGTTTTTTGTGTAGCATCATGTTACTGATAAGGGGAGATACATATGTCGAATTACTAAATACACAATTCAGTTTTCTCCTTTTCGAACAAGTGGAAATGTTCAGCTGTAGACCTTTTAGCGAATGATGATCATGATGATAATGATGATGATGATGATTATGAGGCTTATTATAAATCATGTTTACATTAATAAATGTTTTAGAATAGGCTGGCCCATTTATAATCGGCATATAGTATATAGATTTTTTTCCTGATTTCCAGACTGATCCCTCTTACGGTCCGGAGCCACAGTCTGCTTTTACAAAGTGAACCTCAAGTCAACCACAATCACAGTCACAGGAGAGTGCTCACAATGGTCAATCCAGCCGAGAAAACCACAGTAGTCTAGGCTCACGTTCAGAGCCCAATATGCCCAAAAGCCAAAACCAAACGAGGCAAGTGGGGGAACCAAGAACAATATTTGTGTTTCCACTTGATGACTGTTCAATTAAAGCAGAGCTATTCCGCCATTATTAGACAACAAAGGATTTTCTGTGTCTGGGCTGAAATGGCTCTTTCCTCACATGGTTTCTGAGCTCAGAAAACTAATAGTGCTGTTCATTACAGACATAACTTTAATAGAGTGACACTGTGCTTCTTAATCACCCATTTAATCATGCTGGGTATTTCATTTGAATATCAGTTTTTTCCTTTAGAAAGTGAAACAAATAAATGCTTTTAGTTTCCAGAAAACATTCAGAACTTTTACTAAGCCAAGAAATCCATTTTCATTCTGGAAGCAAATAGTCATTTGGTCTAAGACTATAGCATGTTTTGGTGTATTTGGTCTCAAATGACACATTTTTGCAGGGTGTTGCTTTCATGTTTTGTGTAAGTATCATTCTAAGAAAAAAAAACAGCAAAATGGTTTGTGGCATGAAGAAACTGGAGGATAAACTCTATAAATTATTCTCAAATAAAGTAGATAACAGCAGTGTTGGAAGGTTTACATCCCATTACAGAGTGACTGAAAAGGTCTGAGGCTTGACTTTCCCATGAACTTCATGCCTTCTTGCCGCCTCATTTACCTGCAACAGAGACGGCTATTTATGTCCATCTGTCTGCAGCCTGTACTGAATGGGACCGAGGCCACTCGCTGTGGGTGGAGAAACATAAAATAAGAAATTCAAAGGCTTACGTGGATTCCATCCAGGTCTGTAGATGAACGATAAGCCTGGAAAACAGCCATGTATTCTTTGCACTGATGTTGGTGAAACATCTAAAATGGCATGCAGGTATTGCATTTTGAATGACAGTCTTGTCAAGTCGTGCATGAGAGCAGAGCAAGAACAAAATATGTGAATTCCCTACAATTGGTTCATACACTAATCTTTCTTTCTATGAATGACATAGGTATCCTTCAGGACACTTCAACCACATTGTAAACACATCTGATAGATATTCTTTAAATGTACTAATCTACAGGGAGAGAGAGAAAAGTAGGTCTCCTGTCGCCACCTGTTGGAGCAGACACAAAGTGACCCCCAACATGTTGGTGGAACAAAGTACTCGACACGTTTTTTTTCATTTTCATCATTTTAGATTTCAAAACAAATGTGCAAACACACTCAATCCACATCTCTTGTACAAATCAGAGCAGAGAAAAGCTGATAAATAAGAGGATTTGTGACAATCATGAGCTGTCCTCAAGATCTTTCAGTCTTTCTTCCCTCCAGAGTTCCATAAGGCACAAAATAATCATCAACACACAGCAGAGCTAAAGGACAGACAAGAAACTACAGTGAGATCAGCGTACACGTACCTCTATCGTCATCTAGTGGACAGGCTGTGGTGGCCATGTGTTGGTTTTGCTATATTTTTTACAGCTACCTACATTCACTCTTATACACCAAAGTCTCACCGTGAATCTGGAGTCTAAACCTGTTAAATACGCATTGCTACAAGAATAAATTAAAGTGTCTGTGTCCCTTCTTGCCTCAGTTATGAGAAGTCATGTGTCTGGACAGGTGGTGCCGTTCCCGGAAGTACTCATGGCAGATTGGGCAGGTGAGTTTCTCCTCCCTGCTCCTCCTCACGTGGGACTCCGCTGCGAACTCCTTCTTGTGGTGAGAGCGCATATGGAACACGAGGTCAGAGGTCATGCGGAAGGAGAGGTTACATTTTGCGCACCAGTTCTGCACCGACACGCCGAATGAGGTGAAAGTCGGTGGAAGGACCGTGAGAGAAGATGCGGTCTGCAGCTGCACGCCAATGTTCCTAGACCAGTGCTCCGGTGCGTAATGGAACGCGTTGTTTACAGCCACCGGGGAGTGAACAGTCTGTAAGTCAGTGCTCAGGATGTTAGCTGCCATCAGATTGTTGTATCCCAAAACATTTCTGGAGTTGAAGGCATCTGTCATCTCCTCTACGCGGCTAGAGGGGGCTGTTGAGGCGCTGCTGAGATGCACCTGGGGGTCAATAGGGGAATTTATTTTACTCGGTTTACAGAAAGCGCTTCTCTGATGTCCCTGATTGTTGGACAGGACCAGAGAAAATGCACTACTGCTGCTTGAGTTCAAACCAGAGCTCTCCCCTGCCTCAGACCGTGCGTCCATATCTCTGACATGCGTAAAGGCACCATTCTTACATCCCAAATGATCTGGTTTAATCTTATCAGCCTTCAGCTTCCCAGCCGAGGAAGATTCGTCTCCTGCTGCCTGATCGTATCCCTTAATCAGTGGTGTTATATTGTCATCGTTTGAAATATTTGTCTTTTCCAAAAGAACCGTTTTCCTCCCTTTGGGATAAAGTGTTTCCTCGTATTTCCTTCTCTTGGGAAAAATCTCTGCATCCTCGTTTCTGCTAGAGGATTTTTTGTGTTCCAAATCTCTGGCGATGTTGTGGAAATCTGTTACTCGGCGTTGTTTCCTAATTTCCACATGCTTTTGCTCGTAAATCTCGCGGCTCCATGTGTCTGTCTTGACTTGAGTGCACAGGAATCGGCAATGAGCCAGGAACGGAAACTCGTTCTTGAAGACCTGGTTACATCTTGCACATTTGAACTCTGAAAGAAAGACAAAAACACACAATGTGTTCAATATACCGATATATTCATATTATTTACCATTTAGTTAGCAATGACATCCTTACATTAATCAAACATGGTAATGTTTAATAATAATATGTAATAGAGAATGAACACGATGCGTATAGTGGCTTTATAATTAAATCACAGGTCAATCCGAGTATCTTGACCTCTTATTCGCCTCACAAAGCTCTGCCTCACCTTCACTCGATCCTCGGGACATGTCAGTGAAGCCCAGCAGGTGAGACAGCTCCTGGTCGTACCACACAAGAAGCTCTTCTTCCGGCCGGATGTCCCGGATGGTCCGCACATACAGCTGACCAGCCTTCAGAAAGGCCTCGGTGTTCTGCTCCTGGCCATTGCGCGCAGCCTGCACGAGCCGCAGCCAGGACAGCACCAGCGCGGAATTACGCATGGCCTCAGGGTCCAACTGTTGACAGAAACACCGATATTTTACTCGAACCCCCACATTTTAATTTCTATCTTTATTACAAGCATGACATTCCTTAATATAACTTTGAAGTATATTGTCCATCTCACAGTTTTTGGCAGCAATTGACATGTTTTTGGTCCCTTTGCATATAATACCCAAAGACAAACGCTTCATGGCAAACACAAATTGCAGATGGAATGCGTTGAAATATAGTCCCATAAAATACAAGGTAGGCATGCATGAAATAAATTCAGTCCAAATTAAAATAAGGAACAAACAAATCCGGTTCAAGTGTAATTTCACAATTCACCATAAATCAAGCACATATTTTCAAAGAGACAATACAAGTCTGATCACAACTCACCCTGAACATATAGGATTTAGCTCTCTTGTCGCAGGATTTCTGCGCTATGAAGGCGATCGTGTCGTAGAAGGTGTTTTGGAGCACACATGGACCAAAGCACGTGCCTGCAGGGATGCTGCGCGTAACGACCACAGTGGTGTAGAGATCCGCTGGATGCTGCAGGAATTTACTCTCACCGGTCCAGATGGAGCGAGGTAGGAAAGAGTGATCCATCATTAAACTGTAATGAAATACAAAATATATTAATCACAAATACAATATAATACGTTTAAGAGCAGTTACACATTATATCCTTAAAATGTTTAAGAGTTATTATTTTAAAACCAAGGTTAACCACTAAGACTTTAATACAATTCGACTATAACTTTAATAACAATACACATGTTTAATTGTGTGTTTAAGTTTAACAAAATATTGAGAAAACAATTGGGATATACATTAAAATATAGGTGGCAGTGGAATGACATGCCAAGACGAGTTGGATTCAGATGCTCTAACCAAGCTGGATGGTCTTGCATGTACATTTGGAGAAAAAAAAGATTGAGATATTGTATTAATTTTTTTTTCTGCTCAAATTAAGGGTCCCAACTGTGAAGCAGGCGCAGCCAGTGTTGATGCAAAATGAGTTCTAACGTCCTTTGTCTCAGTTTTTCACTCGGTTTCTCCTTTTGTCTACCCATCTGCCGTGGTGCCCAACTGCCTCCTCTGTGCGCAAGATAAGTTCAATGTTCGTTTTCCTGATGTATCAACAACATTAATGCACAGAGATTATGTGACTATTGAGTTATTCCCTCTGGTCAATATTCTTGAGAGGTTCAAATCGTTGACGGTGCATCGTCATGACAGAATGAACTGGTGCCAATCTGAAAATGCCAGTGTGGTTATAAATGAATGACACTTGAGAGAAAGATCGCATATCCCTGAGATGATAACAGAAGTGGATTCATTGTGTTGAATGCGGACTTACCCGCTGGACATTGA